ATTCGACATGATGAGTGTCTGCTAAATTTGTTATATGCAATGTCAATTAGTTTTACTTACAATGTAGGTGTATAAATTATAGGTGCATTGGTTAACTTTCCCATAAATATTTTTTGTCCATTGCTTATCTATTTTGTTATTTATTGTTGTATTAATGTTATTTATATATTCAAATTTGTTATGATTGTAAAGCGCAGATACATTTTCAATTTATTATGCGCTTCGTAAATATTATCTATTAATATTATTATTATTCACTCAAATACAAGAATTCAGCACTTTTAAACCAACAGAAATACAAAAAAGGCGTATGAAATTCTAAATGAAAGGGGTAAACAATATGCTGAATGCGGAATGGCATATTCGAAATTTGTGGAGGCAAAACTCAAATGACTTGAAGAAGTTGTAGCTCATTTTTGGTGTTCTGTTTAAAAAAAAATGTATTTCTCATTCAATTATACAGAACCAGGATATAAAGGTTGCTTTGACCCTGAAGATCTTCCACAACAAAACAGATTCATCTTTGAATCGACCTCACAGTGTGTGTCGTCATGTAGAGCGATTACAAGGAAGGGTCTCGCTATAATGAATGGAAAACAATGCTTCTGTTCTATCGCTGATGATGTTAGACTACCCGATATAGCCCCTGTTGCAGATGATAGTACATGCATCCAAAATACCCGGGGTACTCGACAAGTTATCAACTCATTGGTTTATGACGGTCAGTCAGCTTCTTCAAAAATAAGTATACATGTATATCCACGAATAATGGATGGAAGTTTGAGGCATATAATATGCGCATGCCTCGATATAATAAGAGATCGCCTGCTTGTTTTGTGTTATTTATTTTTATTTTGATGACATAAGATCATGCACTTAAATGAAATAGAATTAGTAATTGAGCAATATTAAACATTATAGCTTGTCAATTTTATACTCCATAATTACTGTCGTAATTGTCATTAATGTATATATTTTTAAAATCATTATTCTAAAGTTTCCGTTGGATTCTGTGATGAGCTGGATGACGTCATTCATGGATCATGGGATTCTAACGTCACATGGTTTGGTTCCATTGTTCATCTCACGTGTGATGATGGATACAGACTAAATGGAGGTGGAACCCTTCTGTGTATTCCAGGACTATCGCCGTATTATCCTGTTTGGAATGATTCCGGACCAACATGTGACATGCTTGAAGGTAAGAGGAAATGCACTAGCAACTTAATTGCTACCATACATGAACTCATTTTATCGGCAATAAAAACAACAGTAAATCAGATATTGGGCTCTTACTCTCTTACTTTGTATGAGATTATACACATGGGAGCTATCTGTATAGAAATTACATCAACATATTTATTTACATATGTTTGTGTGTGTAATATACATGATAACAAACATACATGCATACTGCTTGATGATACTTTATGTACATGTCGAAACCGCCCCCCCCCCCCAACAACAAAAACCCACACATATATATATACAATATATTGTTATTATTATCATCATTACCTATTTAATATACGCACTGTTAAACGTTGTTATTGTGATCTGATTAGGTCTTACTCTGTACAACATGGGGGTTGTGAATCTTTGAAGCATCACATTTATAATTCAGGGCTGTAACACAATACCAACTTTAATTGAATTTTGTAGGCCCTAAATGGTTTTCAACCACGCCGAACACGGAAGGTATGTATGAAATCTTTCTCAACCCTGTTTCTCCCCTTTTGGATCTACTGAAAAGTTATATTTAGGGTTCTAGCGATCAACAGTACATGATACCGTCAACACTAGAAGTTAAAGCCCCCGAGGCTGATTATGTTGGTCTCAATCACTAGCTATGATCTTCACTAAACGAGCATTGCCATCTTCTAGAATGGTCCTGTTTAAATTCTTTAAAACTTCAAAACTGTTATCATTAGCCTTGTTGAATTATGCACATGATTTCATAGGCTAGTATTTTTGCCCTTTTTGTCAGTACACTACAGCTAAGGTAAGCTTTCATACTCTCTTTCATACCATTTCCTTAACCCTTTCTGCAAAGTGAAAATTCAAATAATGCCAATTTCATTATATTTCATCATAAGTTCAACATCTGATCTACAAGGGATATTTGTGACTTGGTTCATCATGGGTGTCTTACTCACTGATGTATGTATGGTGGTGACAGGGAGAGCACGTGCCCTGGGCTGCCTTTTAAGAACCACACAAAATTGAAGGAAATAAGACAAAACAGAGGAAAGGATGAAAATAATCATTATCCTAATAAAATAAACGAATTATGATTTGAAAAAAGAACTCAATAGAGAACAACATGTACTTTAACCGCATAATAATGTTCTAAATTCGAAACTCTATTGTCGAGCTGAGGGTTTTTAAAGTTCCAATATTTGGGCAGTCAGGTGGCTAGATTGAATTTATTCGATGTCAAAGTAACATTTTTTCCATAATGAACAATAACTAATTTATTTGGCTAGCTCACCTTTTGCGCTTTTGCAATTTATAAACAGGATGGTTGGTATTCAGCAACCAGGCCTCAGCCCCCCTCCCTCAACATTTTGTTTATTTAAATGCTCGCTCACTTCACTCATTCGTGCAATTCATAAATAGGACTGTTCATATTCAGCACCCCCCTAGCTCCCCCACTCTTGAACGCTGTTTTTACTCTGTTTGTTCGCTCACTTCCGTCGCTCGTGCAATTTATAAACAGGGTGGTTGATATTCACCCACCAGGCCTCACACCTGGCTCCAGAAAATATGCCTATGATTTCAGTACTCCCATGCAAATGTTTGAATGAGTAAATGCATACGAAATTCCGGTATTGTTAAACCAACCACTGGTATATTATTCTTGGTTACTTTTTGGGACACCATAGCGATAATACTGACACCATAAACAAAACAATACATTCTTTCCTCTATTAGTCAACATTAATCCAGTGGGCTGTTAAATGATGGACGATATATTATTTTCTGTATCAAGTTTTAAAAATATAAAGAAATATCACTCTTAATTTTGGAAACAGGTTTATCCGTGGATATAACTTATTTAAGGGGCTGGTACCACTGCCAAAAAAAATATTTAAAGTAGGCACGAGCTGCCCTTTTCTTAGGGAAAAACCATAAATACATACAAACATCAAATGTGTTATTATTCTAAACGTGTAACCGAATCTGTACTTGAGCCTACCCTCAAAAATAAAATCATGCAGTTTTTTATATATTTTTTTCTTCATTGACGAGACATTTGCTCGTAACACTGGACTGTACTGCACTGTATATGCACTGTGATAACCATGATAAAGCTACCGATTCTTATATTTCGCTTGATGGATTCAACAACTGTTCTGCACATTTAATGCAGTTTGTTCACATTCTCCACTCCAAGGGGGAGCATGCAAGCTAGTCGCCTTGTTGTGGGAGGGCACATACTAATCCCACTAAAATGACGTTCGCATCTACAAGGTACCCACTTAACAGCTGGGTGGAGAAAACAATGTAGATAGCAACGCCTTGCTTTAAGGCATTTGCAGTGGAGGCGCGATGGGTCAGTGTTATGTTTGGAGAGCCGTGGTCTCCGTAAAGGGAGATCCCGGGTTCGAAACCAAGTCGATGCACTAGTAGCTTGTGTTAAGGCATTAATCCCCTTTAATCCCCAGTCCCTTGGACAGGACTTAAAGTCGTTACTTGCAAACACGCACGTGCTTTCTTAACAGTCGGGTAAAAACAAACCTTTACATATCAATTCAACGATGTAACAGACCATCTATGAATATATTAGTTGAAATACCATGTGATTTAATTAACCAAACCATGCGATCAAGAACGGTAATCATCTTCACTTTTCTCTTTTTTTTATAATTTATCTCACTTTATATATGATTTAAAGTTTGTAGAAATACATCATCAGCAACCGGTACTCTGATTCCCGACGGTGAGTATCATTCAGTTTTAAAGCATTTAAACTTTACACACACATATTGTCCTATGTTCATCTTCCGGATCTGCCTCTGCCCTTTCCCCTGGCTCGTCATCCCAATCTAAAATTGGATATCAAATTAGGCTGAAGGGCTATCTGGTAGCTTCATCTGCTTTGTCAAATTGTCAAAATTGTGGATTACTAAAGTCGTTGTCTATCATACCAAGGACATTTTATGGGTCTTGCACAATTACGATTTCGCAAAGCCTTCTGTAGGCGAATCAATACAAAATAAATGGAAAGTTGAATTTCTTTCTTTGAGGGTACTGGCATGTTCACGAAATGTTTGCATAAAATACCTTAGAAATAAAAGAAACATGCACATTATGAGCGAGTTTGAGTCGTCTTGAAGATAGAATGACCACTACTGACCATGTACAGTAGCAGCATACAACATCCCAATGCCAAACAAACTCAGATTAAAATTAGACTGCATAGACTTTAACTCTAATTGAACTAAACCTGACTTTAAGAAACAAAAATAAACCTGTGACCGACATAGACTGGACTGATATCTTGATATTTATCATGTCCGATATTTACCATGATGATGCATTCAGTAGACCCTTGGGCCTACTAAGTGCACTTTTTCAGGTGCATTTCACTGATATTAATGTTTTTAACTAATGTATCCATTATATCTAGTATGATTGTAACAAAATCTGCAATAAGGCCATTTGGGCGCGAATGAACCGTTTCGAATTAATCCATAAAACCTGTGGTCTAAAGTTAGGTTTAATTAAACTCTGGTTTAACTTGTACTAGAGTCTAAGTTAACGTTGAATTATTTTTGTAATAACTCCTGTAATTATTTGTCTCGTATTAAAACTTTCAGGTCCAGACGTGATATTGTAGAAAGTGTTGACAAAATTGGACCAGACACTCTGACGATAAGATAAGGGCTCACACATTCACGAAGGTTTGTGAAACTTGAAGACACGGTGGAACGATAAATACCCCTATGTGTGTTATCATTATATAAATTATTCTTTCCTAATTTTTCGGTAATCATTTGAGTGTATCTTTTCTTTTTCAGAAACAGAATTTAGTGGCCAAAAAAAGCTCTTCTTCCTCTTGTTGATCGTTCTCTTCATCGGTTTGATTTTGGGTGTGGTTGTCCTGTGGAAACGAAGTGGAAAGAAATCATTTATCAGGTAAGTTAGATCATCCATTAATAACCGTGATTTCACACTTAGTTATGTAGAGTTTTCTAAAATTGTATTTTAAATGGAATTATATGCTACCTGTAAAAGCAAGGCGAATTAGCGGGTAGGTGGAAAGAAAAAAGAAAAGAGGGAAAAGTCTTATGAAATAGAGAAAATCTGTATACGATGTAAAATGAAAGCCTGAGATATTTCATTTACACCGCTTGACCGGCCTCAAAAGTCCGTAAAGCGACAACAACTGGTTAATTCAAGGTGGTTCAATTTCATTCCGTTCAATTCAATTCTTTTATTCATCCAAATTCACGAGAATAAATGGAAATTTGTATTGGTCACACATTGTAAAAATACGTAATATATATATATATATATATGAGAAACTAAATCGTTGTGTTTGTAAATCATAAAAGAAACATCAAAACAAAATGTAGACAAAATAGAAAAATTAGGAATATTCTAATGTTGAAAAGGATAGAACATTAAATCCAGAAAAGACTTAAAATGGGTTAATCAACATGTAGAGAGCTCAGTTTCCTAAGATAGAACATTCTCGTTTGGGCCCTCGCCACAATGGACGTACATTCACCATGCCACGTAAGTTTGGTATCGATCGTTGTGCCCTGAAATTTAATTTTGGAACAATTTTAATGTTTTCATTTTCGATCTTCACTGGTTCGTGTTGATTTTTTTCGTTTTAGATTGATTTTATTATCATCACACCATTTACAAAACTGCTGTATATTTGAACGATAGTTATTTTAATTACCTCTGATCATCCCCAAGATTGCAGTATCATCTGCATATTTGAAAAAGCGAACATCGTTATTACCAGACATGCAATCATTAGTATACAAAATATATAAAAATGCAAAAAGCACACATCCTTGAGGGGCACCGGTATTAATAGATAATGAATCAGATAAAACTTCTTGCACTTTAACTCTTTGATTCCTGTCCGTAGAAAACTCCTTTATCAACATAATTGAAGAAACTGGTACGCTCATTCTAGGTAGCTTCTTCAAGGGGATATGAGTCTGCATAGTATTAAATGCTGATTAAAAATCTGTGAACATCACTCTTGCATAGCATCCAATTTTATCGGTATGTTGTGCGATTTCTTGAATCAGTGTTATGACGGCGTCATTAACGGACATCTTATAGGTTGATATGCGAATTGAAGTTTGTCGAGAAGATTGGATGCTGATGGGAAAATAATCTGCATCACGAGCCTCTCAAAACATTTCATGATGATCGAGGTAAGCGCGACTGGGCTGATAATAGGGACTTTTAGATTTGCACGTCGACAGCTTTGACTGCAACATGTGACGTCATTTTAAGGCACTGCGCATGCGTCACGTTCTCATTCGGCGATCGAGAATGCGTCAACCTTGATTTTCCTAAATCTAGTATGGTACTCGTATATGCCGCGTGCGCATAAAATATACAGTTCCTCAGGTAGACAAAGGAACATCCTTTCCCTGCTATTATGTCAAAATGTGTAGAACAGGTGTCGCATGCATATTCACCTATTCTACACATTTTTTCACAATAGCAGTGAAGGGATGTTCTACCACAGCAATAGGCCATTTTCGTAATGTAACCAAATTTAATGCATAAGTCTTTGTGAGGTGCCTCAATACATATTATTTCACTCACCTGAAAAGAATAATAGTATTTCAATAGACAGAATCCGAACTGCATCATTAGTTGTTGTCAGGTTGGAGAAATATTATGGCTTGACCTACCTAGCAACACTTAATATATGCAGTTTGCATTCTGACTATTGAAATACTATTATTCTTATCAGGTGAATGAAATAATTTGTATTAAGGCACTTCACAAAGACTTATGCATTGAATTTGGTTACATTACGAAAATGGCCTTTTGTTGAGGGTAGAATGAGGAACTGTATATTTTGTCCTCTTTCTTTGTCCGTCATGTTCATAGTGTTACTTCCTGCATGCATGTATATCGCCGTGTGCAATCTAAAAGATTTCTAATTGTAGTCAACATGGGCAGTTGAGTACGTTGACACGCATGATCAGTCGGCGTTCGTCGTGTTCTCGTCCACTCAATCTAAAAGTCCCTAATCATTCAGCTGAAACGCACGGTTTGTTCTCGGTATAGGAATGACAATCGCCGATTTACAGGTTGCGGGAGACTTGGATTCATTCAAAGACGTTTTAAACAGCTATGACAGCCTAATATGGAGTTGCCAGCTGACGAGCATAGTGTTCTAGCAGTCTTGTTTTATCCGTCAGTTTAATGACGGTCTTACATATACAGTTCGCCCCAGAAAAAACGAAACCGAGAACTATCGATGTTTTATCATAACTTAATCACAATAATAATTAATGAATAAATCGTATTTGTAAAGCTTAGATCCTCCTCTTTCATTTAATGCAACTCATATAATGCATTTTACACGCATAAGTGATTACAATGAATTTGAAGAGAGGAAACCTAAATGTCGTTTGGCGGATGGTATCTGAATTTCAAAGAGAAAAATCACATTTCTAGAAAGTTGAGTATCTGCCCTTTCATAAGACACCTCAGTTAGGAAAAATGAGCTAGGAATAACAATGTTCCGTTCATTTAAAGAAGTGCTTGCATGTCCATAATTTCGTTAAACGAATTCGTTTTCACTGGCTGCCTGCCGTAGCAACAAACGGAATTAACAAAAGACTTAACTCCGTTTTCGTAACAATCAGCCGTAGATTAAATACTTCATGTATGGCAGATTGTCAACGAAACGGAGTTAAGTCTTTTGTCAATTCTGCTTGTTGCTACGGCAGGCAGCCAGTGAAAACGAATTCGTTAAATGAAATTATGGACATGCAAACAAATACATTTTTGGTTCCCTCTCTTCAAATTCATTTTGAACACTCATGCGTGAAATATGCATCATATGAGTTGCTTCAAATGAAAGAGGAGGATCTATTAAAGCTTATCAAATATGTGTCATTCATTAATTGTAAATGTAAAGTTATGATAAAACATCGATAATTCTCGGTTTCGTTTTTCTGGGACGCACTGTATATCGGAAAATACTTACCCCACCAAACAACTAGACTGAATCCAGACTGATTCATTTGAAATAAAGGCTTGACAAGCATAGCAGGACAATTACCCACTGGACAATCGCCTACGAAAAAAATACCCCCGCTCGTCAAGGGAAGTTACCTGATATGACTAAGGATACACCTGGTGGGGTGAGAGTTGGGGAGAAGATGAAATCTAGAGGCTTGAGTATAGCAGCCTGGAATGTGAGGACAATGAAGACAACCGGGCACTGGGACATTTTAATGAAGGAAGCAAGGAAATTTCAACTAGACATCCTTGGCCTTAGCGAGACCCCGGCCCCCCCCCCCCCCACTCAGTGTTATTTAGGGTACGCATATGCGTGTTCCAACCGACCCCCCCTTTTCAGCAAAAGTCCGGTGTGTAAAGTCAATACGGCTCGACCTTTTTCTTTTGTATACGAGCCTTTTTCAGCATCCCCCCCTTTTCAGCAAAAGTCCGGTGTGTAAAGTCAATACGGCTCGACCTTTTTCTTTTGTTACGAAAAGGACATTTTGGCAACACGCATGCGGTCATTTTGAAACCTGAGTGGGGGGGCCGGGAGCGAGACACACCTCACTGATGCAGAGACCCTCATTACTAAAGATGGGTACACCTTTTTACTGTCAAGCCGAAAAGACAATAGAAGCCGTGAAGGAGTTGGCATAATGAGTTCACCAAATATACTTCACTGCTTACTGGGTTATGAAGCAGTATCATCCAGAATGATAACAGCAAAATTCCAGATGAAAGGATGAGTCATGAATATCATTCAAGTTTATGCACCCACAACTGGACATAGTGATCAAGAGAGTGATGAATTTCATGATCTGCTTCAACGACATATTACAAAAATCCCGAAGAAAGAGAAGTTGATAATTATGGGGGACTTTAATGCCAAGATAGGATCAGACTATACAACATGGGCACCTGCCTTGGACAAGTTTGGTCTTGGAGTATAGAATAGCTGACGAGAAAAGCTTATGGAGTTCTGTATGATCCATAGACCAGCAGTCTGTAACACATATTTCCAACATAAGGACTGTCGAAGAGCAACTGGGACCTCGCCAGATGGCCTATATAAGAACCAGATTGACTTTCTCTTGGTGTACCAAGATGACTTAAATAGCGTCAAAAATAGTAGGTCGTTCTGCTCTGCTGACATTGGGTCAGATCAAAACCTCGTATTAGCCAATGTATAGTTTCAACCACCAAAAGCTAGAAGAATAAAGAGCGTACAGAAGTCATATAATGTGGGCAGGTTTAAAAACACTTCTGTTGCTGAAGAATTCCAAGCCCGAATTGGTGGAGCGTTTGAACCGTTGTTGCTGCTGGAAGATACAGACATAGATGAACTCTGGCTGAAGTTCATTAATGCAACCAATGAGATTACCAAGCAAGCTGTTGGCATCAGGAGAGGGAAACAAGTGAAACATCTCCCAGAACATGTGAGAGATGCTTGTGAACTCAGAAGGAAGGCTAGGGTAACTAAACTAAACTCCCCTAATAATAATCATAATATTATGAAGTATCGTCGCCTTAACAAAAACGTTTAATATGAAGTCAAAAAGTGGAAGAGGGAGACTCTCAAGAAAGAAGTAGATGAAATGGAGGCAGCACAGGCACGAAATCACAGCCATGAGCTATTTAAGAAAGTAAGAAAACTAGCTGGTGAGAAGGAGAAGATACAGCCAGCAGCCAAGAACAAAGAGGGGGTTCTCAAGACTGCTCCAGGAGATGTTTTGGATTGTTGTAAAGAACATTTCAGCACCCATCTTAATACAGAGTTCCCGAGAGACACCAACACACTTCGCAATATACCTGACCCTCCTCCTACTGAAAACCAGACTACACCTTTTACTATTATAGAAGAGGTTAAAGCTGCGATCAAGGCTGTAAAGAATAACAAAGCAACTGGATTTAATAACATAGCAGCTGAAACACTCAAAGCTGGTGGTCCAGCAATGGCACAGATCTTGCTGAAGATCATCAACACTGCTTTTACGCAAGGCAAGACACCAGTTGAGTGGAGCAAAGGCCTTATTACCCCTGTGTACAAAAAGGGGGATAAACTTGACCCAGCTAACTACCGAGCCATAACACTACTATCAGTGCCGGCTAAAGTTTTCTGCAGGATGGTGCTAAGTATGATCCAAGAGACAATTGAAGAGCATTTATCGGAAGAGCAGTGTGGATTCCGGAGCTCAAGAGGAACCATTGATGCTATTTTCATTGTCAGGCAAGTGCTGGAGAAGGCCAAAGAGAGACATATCCCCATCCATTGGAACTTTGTGGACTTCAAAGCGACATTCGATACTGTCTGGAGGGATGCTTTATGGAAGTGCCTTCTTCTAATAGGAGTTGAGAAGAACCTGATTGACCTCATTAAGTATATGTATGACCAATGTGCCGTCATCGTAAATTCAATTAATGATTTTCCTAATGCATGATATTAATACATATTGATTTTTGTGATGTATTGTCATAAATGTTTATATCACTTGTTCTGTTAGAAATGAAATTGAAACTACAAACTGAAACATGCTCTAAAATGCTGCAAAAATGAAAGATGGTCAATTTCTGGTAATCAGCATTGTGTGATATGTGATAGAAAAGGTTAAATGGATAATTAAGTTCTTGTTAAGACCGCAAATGCCTTCAAAGTGCATGGTTATTGCTCTTATTTTTATTTATGATACTTCGAGTGCCCTTCTTAATGCCCTCATTTAAATTGTATGTTCTTTCAAATTGGACACTCAGTTTTTCATTATCTCACACAAAAATTATTTTGTGTAGTGCACTTTGCAACAAAACTGAACCATCCCTTTAAAAGTTTAAATTGTGCTTCGTATATATTGATTTATCTTGGCAAAATCAGCGTGAGTTCTACAACGAGATGATGGAAAACTTTGTAAATATATTATATTAAATCTGTACCTACATACATGTAGGAACCTTCAAGCCCCGCTTTTTCACCAGTAGGCGTATTACCTGGCACATTCCCCTTGTTATCAAAGCGTTGTCCGTTCGGTTACGAAAAACATGCTGAATAGGAAGATTAGGCTTGTGTTACCGCTAACATGCTAGCATCAACTGATGGTCTGTTACGCTGATTTCTTCATAAGATCCATTTTCTGCATCTGAAATTGCCAGAGTCTCCTTGTCTGTTGCACAAGAGACATAGATCAATTGAGGGTAGCAAATATAAATACTTTTGCTAAATATATTACTCCTTGCGGATGTAGTATCGAAAATAATATCGCTAGTGATATTCGTTTTTCTTGCAATGTATATTCAACAAGGGATCTAAAAGATCGCCAATAGGCCTTGTCCGTTATGGTTCCAATTATGGATCGAATTAATCGCCCGTTGGATCCGCCTGTAGAGTATAGAACACGCTTGCATACATTAGATTGTATCACCTGACGAAGTGTTGCAGCGGCGCACGAAACGTCGTGAGCTTTTAGATCCCCTGTTGACCATACATTGCGAGACTAACGAATATCACTAGCGATATTATTTTCGATAAATACTTTTGTTTTATAAACACTTATCAATCCCGACCTAAGATGTTCTCTGTAGGTTCCATAGTTGAATGATGAGGGCATATTTAAATATAAGGCTTTCGGTTCTACCATGTAGTAGCCTACTTCTCTTTCCATTTCGCCATATTTGATGTTGTTCGTATAAAGACCAGCCTCATGTTAGTGTTCAATTTTATTCATTTCCATTATCATCTCTTTCACTTTCTTTGATTTCCATATACTTCTCCTTAACTGATGTAAACATCACGTCTTGTGACGAGAAAATATATCAACTGCCTTTCCACTAAGGCGGCTGTATAATGTTACAGAATGCCTTCAATCGTGCATACAGACGACCTAATTTTTAAATGTACAATTACAGTCGAACGAGATCATGGATTACCAATTCGCTGGACAGATTATGGTATCAGTCAGGTAATGAATGCCTAGAAGTATGTATGTCTGCATTAGTGGCATCTAAATGTTTTGCATCAAATAGTTATCATGCATGTGGCTGTCTTTCCATTTTCCATTCCATTCACTAACACGATACATGTAGACTGTGAAACTGTATTGCATTTAATTCTATTTTAGTTCAAATGAAATGTAAGATTGATAATACATAAACAGCAATGGTATTGGTATAAATAAGTTGATTTTCGGTGACATAATTTGCATTTACTCATGATATTTTAGCGACGTACAAACTAGAAATTAGTATTGTCGTTTTCAGTGATATGCATGTTGTTCATAATAATCTGTCTACATGTTCTAGCTGGCACTGTAAGTTACTGTGCTTTCATATAATTAACCATCTAACATGAATGATACTTTATTCTTTTTTCGTCTTCATCCTTTTTTCTCCTAGATTTTATGTATCACTTTTTCTTTTACTTGTTCCTGATTTCCATCCATTCTTCAAATTTTCTGGGCTCTTAATGATTGCTATATATGTGCATAATGGTCTTACTTGTCTAAATCCACACAACCTGACGAGCCATGCGCCATTTACATTCAAAATGTCATATGTTTGTAACACCTTACGGACCTTTCCCTTACATTCTTTTTTCTGAACCTGCATTTCTCCCAAACATAAAATTGCTCAAGAAAAACTGATAGTTTCTCAACAACGCCAATGCTAAGCATCAGCTTCTAATCTTATAACTCTAAACTTAACATGTATATGCTGACTTTTGAAATAAAGAGGATGACGTGGATAATAATAATACTACTACTTATACTTATACTTATAACAACAATAATGATGATAACAAGAATAAAAACAATCAAAATGATGATAATGATAATAATAATAATAATAATAATAACAATAACAATAATAACAATTATATAGGTTTTCCTACCCAATTTCATATATTTGTCACTCAAATCATTTTCAAATTCAGGCATTATCGTTTTCTGAACGATATCGGTCTTTCAAATTTGAAATCCCGGCAATGGAATTTATATGGAGAAACGTGAATTATTTTATGGGCATCCATTTCATTTCATTTTATTTCATTCGTCATATAAAAAACATACATGATTAAAACATTGATATTTACAGATAAGTAAAGTACATACAAATAACATAACGAAAGACAAACATAAAATACAAATATATATACGAATGAGGAACCAGCAAGAAAGAACATTTAAGTCTTGTGTGGGGCTGGTCCCTAGCGACAATTTTAACCTATAACACTTAACACCTAACACATAACAACTAACACCTAACATCTAAAACCTGATTGCATATATAAAAACTAATAAAATACTATTCACAAAAACGTAATTGTTTGTATCTTCTTTTAAATGTATTCAGAGTTGGGCTCTGAATCCAAATAAGTTTATCGGCAAAAGTATTTTAGTGTAGAGCATTTTTTAAAAATCTGCATTCGATTTATTTTCTCGCAAGATATTCGTTGATGTGCAAACGAAGTCGTGAACGTATGCACGGTTTCGTGTGTTGAGTTTCGAGGTTCGTGCATTCAAATTAACAAAATAGGCCTGAGGAACCTGTGTGGGCAATCTATTTCATTTTAGGGAATTCAATTTAATTATTTGTTTATTTAGTTTCATGGATTTCATATGTTTGTATATGTTGTGTGTGTGAGCGTTTGTGCTTTTTTTTTCTCTCTCTCTATATATGTTTGTGTTTGTGTGTATTTGCAAAGGCATGATGTGCCATCATATAAATCATCTTGTTGTTCATGTGACATATTGCTGCTTCATTTACGAATTCATCATATTTAAATACTTTTCAAATTCGTTATGATGTTCACAATGAAAGTACGGTCCGAATTCATCAATGAGCCGGGTTTAATGGTTTAAATCTTCAGTTACATAACCCACGGTCTAAAATAAGCGCAAAATAAGCGCAAAATAAGCGCGACACAGTCAAGAGGTCCAATACTAGACAAGCGCAAAGGGTACCCTTATTTTGCGCTAATTTTTAAACAATGATTTATGTAAATGAGGGTTTAAACCATGGGTTGAGTTTAAACCTCCTATGTGAATTTGGGCCTATGATTGTTAATTTCTTCCTTTGTTTTCATCCGGGTCCTTTTAAGAGGGTGTGATTTTGACATTTTGCAGGTTTTCTTAATTGTTTATAATCGGCCGGTTCCAGTTCGTATTTCTTTCTTTTCAGCTTTACATTCTTTATTTCATTTTCATCCTGTTCATATGGGACCTTTGTGAGCTAGTTAGTATTGAGCGATTAAAACGCAATTTGATGGAGAATGAGCATGGTAGGCCTACATGTATACTCATAATAGTTGGTCTTGGACGATGCATCAGAAATTGTTTGCACTTTATATTTAAAAGATGTTTGTCCTTTCATAAATTTGATTGACTGAAGAAAAGCCGAGGCAATCTGCAACTGATTTGCAATGTCTATTTCTTAAACGTTATTCTCCTCGTTGAAATGTGAGTGACTCGTTTGAAAAAAAATTCCATGAAAAATGAATTCGAACAAGGGAACATTATTTCGAATGCTCATTTCTTAAATTGCATGATTTTTTCTGAATTTGGGTGACTCATTTAAACATTTTTTTTTTGCACTGATAACAAAATGGAACGAATGAACATAAAATTGCATGACCATTTGTTAAATTGTATGCTCCTTCTTTAGATTTAAATGGCTCATTTGAAGAGCTTGTAGCATGAATAACGAATTTGAACAAATGAAATTGAATTTTTGAATTACAATTCAAAGTGGCGATCACAACTATCATGAATTTGAATTATCTTAACATTTAACCGAATAACCAAATTGCTAAATTTAGCGGAAAAACCTGTAATTATGAGGGAATAATAACAATAATAATCCAGAGTATCATAAACACCACTAACCTTACATTCTCAATGATCGCTATTCTATTCACAGAAAACGAAATGGTACCTACCAAGCCAGAGAATCCCCAGCCATTGACAGCAGATGGCCGAGAGAGCCTTCCGGGACCCGAACACAGCCTTCCAATGATGGTAGAAGTGGAATCCATCTAACTGTGACTATGAATACCGAAGACTCTCTCATAAACACAACTCTCTTCAACGATGGGGAATCACAACCTCATATTTTTCACACCCAAGCACAGCATGCCCAGGATAATATTGACAGCTCCCAACCTTCAAACACAACTATCATACTATTTCCTTCACTTCAACAACCCATTCCACACAGAGAAAATCCTTATCAAATAGAAGAGAGTGAATCAAACACTTACTACTCGACAATGGATTCAGGCGTTAGTAATGAAAATAACACAATGCAGATAAATACAAACATAGGCATGGATGAGAATACCTATGAAGCAGAAAATAGCCAAGAGAATATTCAAGATCAAAAGCAAACAAGTGATTACAGGACAGAAATAAGGTCCATGTCCAATCGCCCTTTACCACATAGACCAATATCTTATGGCGTCCACGAAGGCCCCTCTCTTCCCCCACGAACAAATCTTGAAACTCGCCCTTTAAACATGGGGCAAAATACATGTACACGGTTCGATGATACATGTCATACAATATGTGCACTTGACTACACCACATTACCAAACGACTATCCATTAGGCCTGTCAGTCACTTCAAAGACACACACATTGCATCATAATATTTCATCGCATGATAAAGATCAAACGACAGGAAAGGGCACTAGAGCTCAGAAGGGTGGTGATGACTACCCCTGCACTGGCGCAACTTCTAGAGCGAGTGACAACCATGGATATTATTCTGTAGATGATTTAGAAGATGAAGGGGGATTTAACGGGAAGAGCGTTCAGCCGCAGTTTTCTAAACCAGACCCATTTTACCATTGCTTAGAAGATGATCAACAGATTGGTAGGGACAGGGAAGATTTGTTGAAAAGTGAAAGCGAGAACGGAGATCTCAGTCATACTGATATGATGGTTGAAAACATATTATACTATCCACTGAGTATACAAACCGGTGATGTTCGTTGACAAACAATATATACCTCCTGATTGAGATTCATCATACATGACCAGAAGCTTGTACTGGCCCCAAGTTTTGGAACTCACTTCCTATTTATGTAACTCGCTCTATCAGCGTCTCTGTTTTTAAACGCTAACTGAAATTATATGTATTGAGTAATTATGCTGAAAGTATTTAATGTAAAAACTATGTTATCACATATGATAAAGTATGTACTTTTCTTTTTCTTGCTTTATTGTCTCCTCCTCTCCCCCCCCCCTCCTCTTTTCCAGGCTGGCCCTTACCTTACCAACATTTCATCATTTATTAGCAAACTCGTTTTGTTCTGTTTTGCTCTATCGTACTTTTTCTTTTTTCTCTCTCTCTCTCTCTCTCTCTCTCTTCTTTTTCTTCCACATCATCATTTCTCCTACATATAACTTCCTTCCTTCTCAACTTTTCTATGTTGTTGTTTTGTTCTGGTTTGCGCTTTTGCTCTCCATCCTTATGTATATATCTTCCCATTTTCTCATTTTCATAATACATCAATCTATCTCTTTTGTAAATATTTTCCATGTTTAATTGCGTCTAGTCTGTTAAGGTAGTTTAGTTGTTAAGTATTTTTTCTTCAAAGAAATTTAAGCATTCAGATATTATATTATGTTTGTGGACCAGCTTCTATAAGGTCTCCTCTTTCTTTCATGTACAGAACATGATCTTACACAAGTAATTTTATTAAAGAATTTCTTTAGATAATAACAAGAGTTGTATATTGAACGTTACTATTGTGCTTCAAATTATGTTTGTTACAGGGCAATTCCACGGTAACGGAAGGACACTCAGACAAGATTTTTGAACTTCAGGTTCATATTAAAAGAAATGTTTTATTAGTATGTAATAAACTATGGGGAACAAAATCTGTTTCAGTCAAGTGGAAAGCTTCATCAACTTCACAAAGTTTGGATAAACACTAATTAACTGGAAAAACCATGTCCATTTTTATGTCCTTCCGTTACCGAGATAATTAATATGCACATTCTTAAACTACTTAACTATAATGACAATTTTTTTGGGGAGAATTAAAGGCACTTATATAGGTATTATATCTGTACTGTTTCATATCTTATACTAATAAAACAGTTCTTTTAGTATGAACGTGAAGTTCAAAAATCTTGTCTGAGTGTCCTTCCGTTACCGTGGAATTGCCCTACATTGATAGTCTGCTGTTCCAGTTACTTTATTTGAAATTCTATGTACAAAATTGTGAAAGAAGAAATAAAATTAACTATGAACTATGACTGAGGCAAGAGGTACAGTGTATATTATTTTCTCCTAAACAAAATGGCCTTTTGACAGGAATCACCAGTGCCAACATGCTTGTTCAACATTACAGGTGCATGGTGTACAGTAAATCAGGAGATGCACAAATAGCACTACAAGTATGGAAAGATTTTATTGGATTTTACTCCACGTTTTACTCCGCACCTCAGCGTTGGAATTGTTGAAGGGGCATATTTAGTGATTTATTTCTATCACAAGACCATGTATATGCATGCATAGTGTATTTAAGAATTCGAATTCGTTAAATTAGTTTCAAATTCATCCTGTTTGTTCTCTATCTATGTGTGTATTGTCATGTGCGAAGTTGGTTGTGCATTTTCTCCATTCTTTTTACATGTAGTAGGGATATAAATAGTGAGACCATGATACAGTGACTTATTATTACAACGTAACATGTATCAGATATTGGCATAAATTTTGAAATTGGAAGAAAAATATCATCCGAATTCAAATATGTATGTATGTTTAATGAATTTGCGTAAAGCGATTTACAAGAAGGGACTAAAGCGGATGCATTTTCTTAGAATTTTTTAAAATATTCTGTATGTGTGTTGCACCATTACGGTTTTGTTCTATGAATCAGTAATTGAATGTATCATTGTGTTTGATTGTCTAGTCTGGTACACAAGCTGGCGTAAAGGAGACCTCACTGTGTTGAATATACTCATCAGACAGGCCAAGAAGATAATAGGCCAAGAAATAAACTTTAGAGAGATAGTAGAAAAAGCAAATTCACCCTTAAGAATAATCAGCACCACCGAGCTGGTCTCTTGATTTATTGTTGATTTCGTAATTTGTTAGAAGGCTAGTATGGTGTAATTGGTGGAGAAACGGGGTAGGTGTTTCCACGGACAAGTGGTTCTAGTGCTCAACTATGTAACTTAAATGAAAATATATTATTGTAACCAATGAACGTGATGAAAATGTTAAGTTGAATGTGATTAATAATGATGCCGACAATAATGATAATAATAACAGCAGTTGTAGAAATACGATACACTATTGATACATGTAAAGACTTATCGTCTTTCCATCTCACCTTGTATACATGTACATTATTTCGATGTATGACTATATCAATGTTTAATTGTTTTGGGGTTTGTTATTGTTCATGTGAACTCAAAAATGTTTTAGTGAATTTGTCTGTATGAATGTGCATGTTAATATGTGTATATATACCATGTACATACCACGAATTTCCATAATTCAATGTACAATAACTATGAACCTTATGAACCTTATTTAATTGCATTGCCTTGCTTCTATAATACTCTTGCAACTAAGGAATTGAAATATTAACTTCATGAAATATCACGAGATATTGTGGTAATCTTATAATCAAGAAAACGGATCTTCTTCTTATCGAGTCACTACACAAGTCCCGTCCAGTGGTCCACACAGGCTTTGGCACGGCAATTCACGGCTTCCAGGTCATCTTGGGTGCATGGCTCTGGCAGGAGTGGGCAGACTAGCAGGTGTTCCATTGTCTGTTCCTGGCCGCATTCACATGCCGTTTGTTCGTCTCCTAGAAAACGGATGAAAGTCAGTTTTAATTTCAATGCCAGATAATTCATGATTATTTGGATTAATCATTGCAGTATTTTAGATTTTATTTCAGATATGATGTTAAATATTTCACCTATATCCCAGTTTGAGGTGTTCAAAGAAAATTCCTATTAAATTAAGCCGATGTATATGCTTATTTTCTGTGGTATTAATACAGTGGTAAATGCGTTAATCAAGAATCCACAATCCGTTTTTCAAACAGTACAGATGTATAATAAAACATACCTAACTACAGTACATAAGTGAATATAAGAACAATTCACATAATTTTATACTGACGATGTCTTGAAAAACCGTTGGGTCTTTGATTATTGAATTAAACCAGCGTTTTAGAGTCCGATATCCTTTTTGTTTATTTACTTGAGGGTAAAAGGGTGTAAAGTTTGGAAGGTGTGATACTGTGTGGGGTGTAAGGCTGTAAAGGTTCTAGGGTGTGCGGTGTGAGTGAAGGAGTGTGCGATGTAGTGTATGAGATGTGAGAATATGAAGGCGTGAGGTGAGAGGGTGTGGATTTACATGTAAGGGCGTTGTCTGTAAGCACGTGGGGTATACGATGATGAAGGTGTGAGAGCTAGTGTGCGATGAGGGATGTGAGGGTGTGATAATTGGAAGGTGTGAGTATGGAATGGGAGGGTGTAGAGTGTGAGCTGTGTGTAGAGGTGTAAAGGTGTCGAATATGAGTGTGTGAGGGTTTGGGTATAAGGGTGTTGGGTTTAAGGGTTTGAATGTGTGGAATGGGAGAGTATGGGGTGTGAGCGTTGGAAGGTGTTGGGTTTTTCCTACGGTTTGAAGAGGTATGAAGATGTAGTTTGTTTCGATTGGAGAAAGAGAGAAAGAGTAAGAGAGAGAAAGAGATTTTAAAACATTTCCCCAAAATCAATCAATCTCCCTCAAGCAATGAAAAAAGTACCTTTTATTGATTGAAAATGGTTCCCATCCTGAGAGGAAAATGTGCACATATCTTTTCCCATTTCAAAAAAGTAGGTACCCTTGTTTTGATTATTGTAGACATATTACTCTTTGAAAAAGTCGCAGATCTAAAAAAAAAAAATGTTCAACTCACTCTTCATAACGATTGCAGAACTATTTAAGTACAAAATATGTCCAGCATAATATTGACAACATCCCTACCTTTATTTTATGATGATAGCAATAATCTCATCCTTATTATTAAACAATGTTCTCATTCTGTTTGAAGTTTAGGTTTTCTAAGTAGGAATGAGAATACCTATGAACCAAAAAATGACCAAGAGACTATTCAAGATCAAAGGCGAACAAGTGATTAAAGGGCAGGAATAAAGTGAATATCCAATCGCCTATTACCTCATAGACCAATTTATTATGGCGTTCACGAAGGCCTCTCTTTTTTAAGTGTAGGTGTCCTTCCAGTCATGTTTGGTCATGATCGCGTGTGATACTAACCTTTTTACCGATCATGACCATGTTCACTGTTTCACTCAAATCTGACACAATTGATGTTGACGTGCCATTTGAAAAACAATGTAGCTCAGTGAAGCGTAGACACTTTTCAGATTAAAGTTATCAACGTATCATTTGAAATCATATTATTTCTATTTTACGAAAAGCGAGTTATTATATTTGTTTAGCTCATAGTTTGTTCACAATATTCGTTTGTATATGGGTTTTCTTTTTCTGGGACGCAATGGATAAACACATATATGCCAATTTAGAAGAAAACCCCCATATTATATTTTTATTTTTTTATTAAAGACCTCAACTTTTAAGAAATTAAAACTTTCACATTAAACGTCGAAATATTCTCGTACTGCAATGATTTTCTCAACAAAATTGTTATATTTCTCATACGGTCCGAATCCGATAAAGTCTAATTTCCCTTTGATTAATTCAATGGGACTGAGATTCATATGATATCGCCGACTCGGACGCCGTGGATGTGATTCAACATGAATGAATGTTGTGATTCTAACATCACGTGGTTTGGTTCCATTGTTCATCTCACGTGTGATGATGGATACAGTCTGAATGGAGGTGGAACACTGCAGTGTGTACCAGGCCTATTGCCAATATGGCCCAAATGGAATGCTTCAACGCAGACGTGTAAAGCAGGTGAAACAAAATTGTAATTGAAATTGAATGTCGGTCGCGTATCGACATAAATAGTAATACAAGAAACGGTGGTTATAAAGCGCTTAATACCATCGAAGTCTCTAAGCGTTTTAACAAACATAATACTATGATAAACGTTTACATATTTATTTTTAAAAAAAAGTTTTAAAAAAAAACCTACTCATTACAATACATATGAAATATACATCAATGTTAGAGAGGGTGCTTGCAGGAGGGGGAATTGCTCAATGCGGAAAAGGGTGCAAAATACAAACAAACGCAAGAGAAAGGAGAATGGGGAGAAAAGAAGAAAAAATAGGTGATAATGCACGTCTGTATATGCAGGGTATAACTTATTGCATTAGAGAGGATTTTTGTTTCGTTAATTTGGCGTCAAATGTGGAAACCGTTTATGAACGATCAAAATTCAAGACATTGCCCCAGGAACCATAATAACTAGGTAGACCACTGATATAATTCATATTAATTGGGTAAAATTGTAAGTAGGTCTAAATAAATGTGGACACAAAAAGATATAAATCATATTCCGTCTGGGTATTCCAAACATTGGTATTGGATTCATGTGTGTTACTATAAGTGGTAGAAAGGTTACATAATACGGACATGGTAGTGATGGGGCTCATGGCTGTAATGAGTCAAACCTAGAGTTCCGGCAATATTTTGAAATCTTAAATATACATTCTGACCATATCAGGAATATACCAAAAAAAGAGCGCTAACCAGGAACCGTTCTAGATTTCTCCTTTTTTTTTGGGGGGGGGGGGGGGGCTGACGTGGGCTTGAGTGTTTG